AAGGTTATTTCGAGAGAAAAAAAAGGGTAAAGTGTGTGAGAGAACAATTGAAAAAAAAAACAAAGAAGCCAAATTGAGAGATACACATTTCCTTTAATCTATGTCAAGATATCTCAAATAGGTAGTTGCAGTGGAAGGAGTAGATCTATGACTCAACAACTTGAAAGGTCGATATTACAATATATCGAATGGAAAGAAGACAATGGTGAAGTTATTTTTCAAACAAGAGCTAAAGTGATGTCTACAATTTATACCCTTAGAATTGACAAAGCATTTAACTATAACTTAATTAGCACTTATATAGTTGAGAAATTGAACTTGCCTTGTGTTGAACATATTAATCCCTACATGTTGAAAGGAGTAAAGGTAGATAAAAGAGTGTTATTACCATTCTCTATTGGAAGGTATGAGGATGTGATCTGGTGTGATGTCATTCCCATGAATCGTTTTCATATCTTGTTGGGAAGGCCATGGAATATCTATAGAAGTGCTTCATATAGTATCGAAAAAAATAGATACTCTTTTGAGGTTAATGGGAAGAAACTCAGTCTTGGACCTTTGACTCCCTCACAAATTTGTGCAGATGAAAAGATTGTTAAAGAGAATATGGAAAAATACGAGAGAGAAAAGAATGAGAGGAGTAAGGGAGTGCATGTTGACATTCCAAGAGAGGAAAAAGGAGAGGTTGTCTTGAGTAAAAAGAGTGGGATGTCAAGTAAGGTAAACAATGATCATGAGAAAAAAGAAAAGAGAGAAAGCAATAAGAGAAACAAAGTCTGTGAGGTAGAGAGAGAAAAACAAGAGAGATTGAGTGAAGGAAAAGAACTCTTTAGTGAGAGAAAAGAGGCTAAGGGTGAGGAAAACATTAGTCTTGCGATAAAAGCCAAAGAGAGTGTAAGCAAGAAAAAAGTTTCTTTACTTCCTAACCCATTAACTCTTTCTTGTTTTAGTTCTTGTGATTTTGTGCAGCCACGTGATGAAATACCTTTTGAAAGGAGTGGTGAGGCGCAAGAGATGGTGGCAAAAGATCCAATTGGATTCCAACATAAATTCGGCAATATCAATTCTTGTTGGATGGTGGAAGACAAAAGCTTGATTAAATTCTTTGTTATTAAACCTTTTGACTATTTCAATTCTTATTTACAGGGTTATGACATGGAGTTGCCTAAAAGCATTGCTAAGGTGGAGCCATTGCATAAAAGAATACAAGGTGATGATGTTCCATTGGTAAATAAGTCCAAGTATGGTATGTATAATTGGTTTATTTGCATTCTTGGTCTTTCTAGAACACCTAAGGTATTTTTGGAGGTAATGAATTACACTCTTATTTCTTATATTGGTGACTTTATAATTTTTGTAGATGATGATATTTTGATGCACATCAAGTCATTAACTATAATATCTAAGTTAATGTGTAAGAGTAATTCGCTTCCTTTTGAAATTGTGTATGACATAGATGATTACTTATTCCAACTTGGTGGAAAGAGGCATGGAATTTCTGTGAAGAGGCTTGCAAATGAGTTAAATATTTCTTCTTATCTTATTCAAGTGGCTAATGAGTTTTCATGTGCTAAAGAATGTGATCTTTGTTATGTGATGGGGAGTCATTCTTCAAGTCATGTTCATTGTAAGATTGTAAAAGTATTTGTTTCTAGTAAAGAGGATATGCATGATTGTTGTAATACTGGTGATCAAATACTCTTTCATGTAGAGGAATCCATGAGATTTGTAATTGTAGTTAGTAGTCTATATCATGAATGTATCTTGTTTGATAGATGTGGTAAAGGTACTTATATTGAATGGATGTGTAGTCACTCTTTTATAATTTCTTTTTCATGTATACTCATGGACTGCCATACCGACAAAATCAAATTGCAAGTTCCATTGCATGGTGCATCTAAGAGAGGTTTTTATTGTATTAATCTAGGTAGACATAAATTTTATTGGGATGATGATGTCCATATGCTTTATAAGGGAGTATTTATACCTATTAGGATTGATTGGGTTAAATGGACTCATTGTCACTATCTTATTTTATTCCTACTATTTTTCAGATTAGTGGATACCATTTACTAGTGCGTGTTTTCTTTTTCTTGCAAGGTCAAAATTCGAGGACGAATTTTCTTCAAGAAGAGGGGAATGATAGCATCCTAGGAAGCTCAACTCTATTCAAGGACATGGATGAAGCTTTTGAATCTCAAAGATGGCCTTTAATAAGAGTTCAAGCTAAAGAATTACAAAACAAGATCATTAGACTTCAAGTGCAAATGAAGAAGTTATTAATTGGGAGGAAGAGCTCAAGGATAAAGGATGTGAATTGTCTAGGTGATAGCATCAAGGACAAGGATAGAGTTTTGGAAGCTCCAAGGCCATATACAAGATCTCAAGCTAAAGAGTTACAAACTAAGGTCGCTAGACTTCAATGACAAATAAAGAAGCTTTTAATTGTAGAGGAAGAGATCAAGCCCAAAGGAGATGAATTGTCCAAGTTTTATTATTTGGTAGTCCAAATTGAAGTCCAAGAGGAGGAAGATTGGATTACCAAATCAGCCTTGAAGTCTACCAATAGGTCTCAAAATGACCTTAAAAGAGGTCAAAAAGGGGGTGTTTCAAAAGGAGTCCAATTGGAGTTTAAACCAATGGCCCAAACTAATAGTTTTAAGGCCCAAATCTGCCCCAAAAGGATTTGGCCACCGCCCACTTAATTTTGATGGCTTTTGTTATCCCTTAGGAGCCACCTACCTAAGTTTGATGGCTATTGTGACCCCTAGCAGGCCCTACCTAATTTAGATGACTTTTTAGCAACCCCCTACATTATTTTAAGTGCTTTTAACTCCTATAAATAAGGAGTT